TTTTTTTTTTTTTTTTTTTTTTTCTTTTTGCAAACATAGTACTATTTTATTGATATCTGTATGCATCTTGAACAGGATTGGTTTGAGCAATATCGTGAAAGAGTAACTGAGGCTGAACAATTGATACTGACTACACTGAACTTTGAACTCAACGTACAACATCCCTATGCTCCTCTTATGTCTGTTCTTAACAAGATAGGTCTTTCACAGTCGATATTGGTGAACCTTGCACTGAACTTAATCAGTGAAGGGTAAGTTCATCACTTCATTTATTCAACCCATTCATTTGATTAATTGTTATTACGAGAATTAACATGCAATATGTTTGTATCCGCTAGATAGAGATCTTGAAATTTGTTTCTTGTCTCTGCGATTATTTTGTCCTTGATATTGCTTCAGGAAGCTTCTTGGCTTGTGTAGTCTATTAGTAAGCATGCCCTTGCAATTGCGAAAAAGTAGGTCAATGATGTAACGATAAGATTTAGATTTGTGATTTGTGGGTGCAAGAACCTCAATGGAATGACAGATTTCTTGAATTTTGGCATTGATTGTGGCATGAAAGAGGTTGCGCTGGTGATCTTCTTTCCTTCTAGGTATCAAAATGGTGTGTTACTTTTGTCACTTGTTTTCTTGTTAGAGCGAGCTACCATTCCTTACACATTTCTCATACTATGAATTATTGATTTTTCTGGCATGCGTATAATTTGCAGGATCTATGCACGATTAGTATGCTCGCCTGTTTGATATACTTAGCTGGCGGATTGATATGCTGTTCATGGAAACTTTTGTTTTACAAGTGAAGTTATTTTAACCATGAATATACCCCATCAACTTGGTACTTGGTGCTAATGATTGCCAATGAGCTTACTGCATCACTTTCTTTCTTTTCTTAACAAAAATATCTATTTCTCCTCCTCTCCCTGGAGCGTCCTCTTTAGGCCATTCATTTTCCTATACCTTGAAAGATACGGAATATTTTCCTTATGGACTTTTTGACTTTGAAGGGCCTCCACATGTGATTGAATCTTCAATCTATTGTTTTTATAACTTAGAGGACCGCTGCCATTGGTTTTGCATTTGCTCTTATTTCCCAATGATGGATGATCAAGTGAGTCTAATTGAGAATATCTGCTGACCAGCTTCTTGGGATGAGTTTCTATTTAGCACAGAATAAGTCACAATGTGATTTAGATCTTAGATAAACCTCTCTTTGGTCTTTTCTTTAGCACAAAATAAGTCATAGTATTTACTCTTTGAAGATTCAAGTGTACATGACTTAAATAACATGTCAAACCACCAGTTTCTTGATGTTCCATTGAGCATGTACGCACAAGCAAGCAGCCCTTCAGTTGGAAACCTTAAATTTGTGTCGACTCATTTTATAAGTCATGTATTTGCTGACTGCTGTCTATACTTGGTAAATTATCACGTGGATATCTGTTGATCATTTTGAGTCAGAGAGAGGGTGGAACTCAAATGTGGCGTGACTATGACTGGTTCAGGATGGGCGGAATCTTAATGTGCATATGGGTTTCTTGATAGGGACAGGATGTGAATTATGGAAGATCATATTAAAAGAAAATTTGGATCCCCCTCTCGCACTAAGAGAAAATATAATGCATGCATTCATATACATACCTTTGTCTATTATTGCATATGCCTCCATTTTCCAGTTTTTCCCATCCTTGTTTGACATACAATGTGTTACAACCAAAGGAGTTCTATTCATTCTCGTCTTGCACTTCCACACATTGCTTTTGTTTATAATCTTACCCCTTTTGCTTTCGGTCATTCATCATTTATTTATGGGGTGAGAAAGTACGTACATCTCTTATCGACTATGGAATGTTTAAGAAACTATGGTTTTTTTAAGAGTTTCTTTAAACTCTCTTAACATTCATCATAGGATTGGATTTTCAACTAATCTGTCTTTTCTGTGTTGCTCTTGTTATCAAATAAATACCGCTGTCATGACCACAACACTTTCTTGAACTTTGATATCTAATATGTTTATTATCTGACTTGGATATTTTAAGCTATTAAAATTTTGAAACTATTGTGAAATTGTATCAGTTTCTCACACTTCGTTTCCTATGGGAAAAAAAATTCCCTTCTCTCTCTATTTTGCTTTCATTTTCAAAATAGTTTATTCATGACTTTGAAACTTTTTAATTTGTGTTTTTAAAATCCAGCACTGTCCTATAGATGGAAAGATGCATGTCTGGCCTTTTTCATCTTGCCATAATGAGTAGATGCATCACTATTTTGAATGAAGCTGATTATTTTTTTTGTTATGATGTATATATTGACCAGTCGTTCTATATGTTGTGATTATAGGAAACCCTGAAGGTGTAAACTTTTGAAATATTCAGTGACATCAAGGTTTTGCATTCAATTTGTTGGACATAAATTGTAAATTTTAATTTCTTTCGGGTGATGTTTGTTCCAATTTATATGGTCATTAGAATCACAATCATCAATTAAACAACGTTGTGATCTGCATGCTTGTGTAAAGGTGCTGTCTATAGAAATTTCACCCTCTCCTACCCCCCCTTCCATCAAAAGATACCGAATAAAATTACTTTCAAGGTACAAACTTTACAACAGATGCATCTTTCCATGTAAAGGCAGTTTTGCCCATAGAAACCATCCCCCTCCCCCTCTTGCCCATATGCCTAACCAAAAGAGAAGAGTAAAACCATGTCCTGTTCTAAACATTCTAAGGATAATTACCTTAATTAAGGTAGAAGCTTTACAATGGATTCAATTTTCCATAAACCTGAGTCTTTTCTTCTCGTGTGTATTTGTACAACGGTGGGAATTTTGGGTTGGATCTGTAAGTATGGTAAACTTGCATGCTTTCAAGCATGATGAGATGAGAGTGCTTGATGACAATCCAGTACAGATCAACATTTACATCATTTAGACCCTTGAAGATGGTGGGTTGCTTTGAGAAGTTTGATTGTTTGCAATATGCCACAACCTCCTGTCTTTTAGTTTGGGTTGCATTAGTTTCTGGAATGAAAAGCCCCTGCAGCCAAATTACCTGGGAGTTTGATGTATTCTGTATATGGGGTATAACATATATCGTATGATAGTCATACTATCGGCAATCTTCCAGAGATTCTTGGAAATATTCTACCTGAGTTGCTGCTTTTAGTTGGTAAGAAGAAACGAGATATTTACTTTGCTCTTGCTCTTAGTTTTTATTGTTGTATACAGTTGTATATTTAGAGCTGATGCACTTTTTTGTCTTGAAGTACTGTTACACATTGCCATCCTCTTTAGTAGTGGACCCAGATGGTTTGTTTAACTGTTTTGTGTTCTTCAACTGGTTATTGTGGTTGTGGTAGTTGCATATGAGACTGAAATGTGGTTTTTTTTTTTAGGCTGAGGAGCTCACTCTGGCTTCAGTTTAAGCCCCATCAGATAGCTGCTGGAGCTGCATATCTGTCTGCCAAGCTATTGAATATGGATTTTGCTCCTTATCAAAATATCTTGCAAGAGTTCCAAGCTACGCCAGCTATTCTCCAAGGTATCTCAAAGAACTTTTCTCTCGTCCTATTATTTAAGCAATTTAAGAAGTGGTTGATTTAAGGAGTAACCTTGCATTAACCATTTCTTCTTTTTATTTTCACTTTTTAAAAAACAGATTTGATTTCTTTTGCTACATTTATAGTATAAAAACCAGGAGCTTGTTTGGGATATTCTTCAACAACAAAAAAAAAAAAAAAAAAAAAAAAAAAAA